GTATTGTTTACATGACCCTTGATCGGGGTTATAGGAACGGTGAGTTCGAGGTTATGACACAATGTCGGAAGAGGCCGTGATCTTGTAGAAGATTAGTCTGAACTTTCTAGTTTACTGGACACTTTAGTCTACCTAACAGTAAACATTAAAAATATATATATTATTTTGGTAAAAGCAATTTTTTTATGTATAGCTGTATTTTGCTATAAGGTATATGTGTAACTACAATATTACGTTCAATTTTACTACAGTAAAAACTGCATAAACATTACATCCACCAAACATATTTCCCTACCACGTTAGAATATGAAAATAATTCATCTATACAGTATGCCACAGACCACCTAGCAATCAACACTTTGTTGTTAGTAGATTTGGTATCAAAGGAGGCTCTTATTCTTGATAATCATTTATATTTTAATACATTAGTACCTTCAAAGATTTCCTGTCGACTATCAATGTTAATTAACTAACAATTGTGACTTTTTATTGATGGGGAATACATTTTGTGTATTTAATATCAATTAGTTACGTTATTGGGTTGTATAATATTTTTTAAAGTTTCACCAAGAAAACGAATAAGAAGAACGTTACGTTTAGTTTTTGCTGCAGTCTCGTAGGTCAAATGTAATACAGTATGTAATAGACTTGTGTTATATACAATACTCTCATAATATATTTACTTGTACTACTATGACAGATTTGTAAAATAAAACTATTCCTAAACATAACAACTATTAAGCGGCATTTCTTATCACCATTTACCTTGAAATTTTTAATTCATGAACAAATATGCATGGTATAGTAATAGTATACCTATAATCATCAGACAAAGCATTACTTCTTAAAGGGTCAATGGTTTTACCCTCGAGTTAAAACCTGGAAGGTCTTAGAGCGCAACACCTCGTTGGTGCTGCGCTCTATGAGACGATTGAACAACTCGTCCGACATGCTGTCATACGCAGTACGTTGTACCTTAGATATTCCGTCCTGATGTTAAATTTGTAGCCAGATTTTTTTTACAAAATAGTTGTAGTTGATGTGAGCCACATACAGAATGCGCTGATCTAATTTACTAAATTTGGCCGAATTCACTATCTTTTTTACCAAGTCAAACTTAGAGAATGACTTATGATGAGTTATAGCAACTGTTATGACCCATAGACCTGGTCAGCAACAAAAAATGCATAAAATAGAATTTAAAACACTAGTGCATTCTGTGACTGGCTCACACAACTACGTTCTTGTTTTTATCGAAAATTGGCTACAGCTGGTCCATATAGATGGGTTGTGGTTACTACTTCAGTATCCAATAGTCAATGGTTGCACTTTGGCCCACATTTTACAGTAGTAATGTAACTCAGTACAATCAGTAATATCCTATACTGTAGTTCGTTTATCTGCGCTTTTTCAGATATAGATTAAGTGATAGGCCTGCCTATACATTTCAATAAACCACAACTGCTGTAGATTTACCTGTACATAATGGAGAAAATAAAATGCAAAATGGATTATTCCTGCGAAACGAGCGATGTAGAAGAGGCCTCATCAAAATCTACTTTCCATAGCTTTTGTCGGTTTTAAATTTGTCAAACGGTGTACCGGTAGTTAAATGTGAGCCTCTGGACCGATTACTTTCTGAGCAAAGTTTCGCCACAACTCCGTAAAATTGTTAAAAGCAGGAGACCCCTGCAAATGTCACTCCGACCTCAACATTTGGCCTACACGCCAGCTAACCTTTGGCAGGTAAATATCAGCTGGACGCCGAAATCAGCTGATTTCCCACTCGAATCACCTGTTTAGCTAACCTAACACGAAGGCAACCTTTAAGGAATCGAATCGAATCAATGAGTTGTGGATGACGATGACCACACGTAGTTGTGGATGACTACGTAGTTTAGCTTAATTCGTCGATATGGAAATATTGCAGAAAATAAACATTTCTTGAACGATATATAGCCTTTAAATCACAAGCCTATTTCAAAATAGCTGGAATTGAAGGATTTTCTAACTACTAGCATAAAAAAACATATTCACCATATTTTGTTTCTAACTTTAAGTTCACAAAGAGTGTAAACTAAATGTATTTGTCGATTCTCTTGTATTTTGCAATTATTTAAAAAGTGTTAAATTCGTTTCTCCTATGTTTCTGGAGTGATATTAAAGAAAACACCCAGTTAAAAAAGGTTGCCATAATTAAGAATGTTTCTCGGTTAAACGTGACCATCGTGGTCTGCAACATTGATTATAGTCAATGTCAATGTCATGATCGAATATCAGAAACCGCCCTAGTTTGTTAAGCATAGCTGTCATCAACTACACGGCTGTAGGCTGTACAACAGTTGAGTTTCAATATTATACTTTAAGCTAATTGCTGTAGGATGTCGGATGACTTCTACTAATTAGTTACAATACAAGTCCTATTGCTTATTGTTGTACTGTCTAACTTTCATATTCGCGTTTGCCTGCATAATTTTTTCGGAATATAATATGATTAGGAGCCTAATGACATATTATTGTGTTTTATGCGTTTGTTTGCAGTTGACCTGTTTACACACTCAGTTCGTGTCCTATCTTAGTTACAATTAAATTATGTCATGTTAAATGTCTATTATTTATATCAGTTTAGCTCTGCTATTTCACCAACATCGATAGTTTTAAATTGTAAGTCAGTCAGCTACCAAGACAATTAGTAAGCAAAAAGTCATATCTACATAAACCGCACGATTCTAATTTAAAAATAGCTGTCTTCAAAAGTTCAGGGTTATAAATTTTTAATTTAGGATGTAATGGTTAATCTATGGCATAATTTATATGCAGATTCTAAACCAACAAATGCCAACTAAACGCCGACGTTGAAATTATGTCCGTTAACGGTACTTGGGTACACCATATTCAACAAAATTCTTATAATTAAATTAATTAATTGATTAGTTCCTGTTGAAATCTCGTTGCGAACTAACCGAATGTTAGGTTAGATTCGACCACTTTTGGCGGGAACCACTAATTGTTGAATCCGCCGCCGCGAGCGCCACCTGTCACTTTCTCCACCGGAAGTGGATGTGGCATCCATCACGCATGCTCGGTGAAACCGTCTAGCGACAGCCGATCAGCGACTAGCCATCGAGTATCAGCAGTTTGACAACACGTCATTCACTCTGTTCTCGTACATCAAGATATGTCTATGAGCTGCAATCAAATCAATTCAGCTCACTTTCTGATTGTGATTGAGAAATCAGTGCGGTTTTCCTTTTCCCTTTTGATGTATGTTTCCCTTGTCAGTAACAGACAGCTTATATATCTGTATTGACGCAATGCATAAGTAATGAACGTATCGTGGTATACCAACCATTGATGTAATGCTTCAAACAATGTAAAAGCTCGTTTGATAAACTATTTAAATTCCTACAAAAGTAGTAGTCCCGATTCCTCAAAATAGGCCTATATAACTTGTCAATTTTATGGGATTTGAAAAATATCAAATCATTGGTTTAGGTTAACAAGAGCTAATGTTTGGATAAAATCTACCGTATACACCATTTAATATTGAATTGCACCCTATTGGCTGTTCCTAATCTTTGGGCTTTAAATCAATACTAACGAAACAGTGATATTAGTAAGTAACAAGCTACGGAGATCATCTAACACCATTCTATACTCATACTTCACTCATATTTGGGTTAAAATGCGCACCTCCAACTTGGCAAGAAAATGATTGATGTGTGAAAATGCCATTGGACATTTTTATTTATAAGTAGAGAAAAGAATTTATTTATAAAAATAAATACATCTGCCTTAAAAAATAAGGTTGCCAATGACACAGAAAAATTGTACACATAAAATTTTACAATAATATTTCCAGATCACCATTTTACTCCACACCTAGGTCGTGTTGATTTGTGTGCGAGAATTAGGCCTAATCACACGTTTAGTGAAACGTGGTGATATGGATACCGGTCATGAACATACTATTCTACGCCAATACCGAGTCCAGTTGTTATTAGGAATATTAACAAAAGGGGTTAGTATCATTAAGACACTTATAAGTTGTTTTTATACCAAGCTGAATATCCCCATCCTTCTTAAATAATACAGGCACGACTAAAAACCCATAAATATCTTATCCACAGTTCATTCTCTTGGAAATAATACCTTTTCCTACAGTTACCTAACAATGTACATGTTCTCTCACTGATTTGAGAAAGCAATGTGGCCAATTCGCTCATCAGTGAGACAATGTTAACATTTGCAGCGCCAGATTTGCAGCGTGAAGGCACGAAATAGTGAGCGCGTAACATCATTGACTATATAACACTAGTGTTATATAGTCAATGGTAACATGCAGGCAACGTCGTATGCGCGCGAAATACGTTGGCAGCACTTGCTGTAAATCAGCTGGTCACCTGTTGTACTGTTGTATTTGTCACTTCACATTAAATGTTATATTAAAAGTTCACTTCTGTGTAAAAATAGGTTAATGTTTCTTCACAAATTTATTTGTTTTATGGTAACTGGAGGAAAAATATAATGTGCAACTCGAGTTCAAAGTACAATTGCCTCACTCGAGAAACCATTCCTCACTCGCCTACGGCTCGTGAGTAAGGATTTCTCTCGAGTGAGTCAATTGCTCACTTTTCTCACTAGTTGCACAAATAACTATTTCTCAATTTAGCGAACATTATCAATAATACTTATAAGTACAAAGGAAATTTACCTTTGTTCGGAACAGTTTGGCAAATCCCCAACATCGTGTCTAATGTGGGAATTGATCTTTTCAAGGTCCAAGTGACCTTCTGACAAACCGTTCAGGCCAGCAGACCAAGAACCTGCCGGTTGGCATTTCTATCAGGAACTGGACTGGACCTAAGTGTCGAGTTACAATGAATAAATTTACCTTCCAAGTTAAAAATTAATAAGTATTTACCTGCATCCGTAATACTATCAAAAGTAGTTACCTGGTAATGCAAGTGTAGTGATTGTTTTTTTTTTTTTTTTTTCAGATGGGACTCTCGAGAGCGCAGCACTTGCTGCTCCTCGCGGTCGTTTTGGCGGTAATTGTACAAACAACACACAGTTCACAGAGTAAGTAGCTTAGTCAGATTTAACATAGTAGTATAGTATATATACTACTAGTAACTTATATACTACTAGTAACTTATATACTACTAGTAACATATATACTACTACTGTAGTAACTTATATACTAGTACAATTATTTAAGATAGTTAAATAACTGCTCGTCCCAGTTTAATTTTCCATTCTTAGATGGACTTTCCTCTGAGGCCAAGGTTCAATTCTTCGACAGCTGTAAATAATTATATTTGTACGAAAGTAAAGTTTTAGTTCGCATATGCCAACATATAATAGCAAGGGAGGGGACAAGTTACTAAGAAATACAATACAGTACGAACCATTAAATAATACGCATATATTATTCAAGTGAGCCACCTAGTTAACAAGCTATTTAAAAAAGGCCATTGCTGGAAATATTGAGATGTCCATATTTTTTTAAGTAGTCCTCCGTAAAAGTAGTAAAAATCATTCGTCAAAACTTACGTCCAAACTGTATTGCGTCAATGCTTCGGATTAAATGGGTCAGAAAAAATTAATATTAATATCTATAACATCGTTATAGATATTAATATCGTTATAGATCGTAATAATACTAAAATAAAATAATTATTTTCTTTATTACTTAAACCGTGAGTTGGACGTATGGGTTATGTTGTTATGTTTATGATGTAAATTTTGAGGTTATGTTTGATCGATTAGCAGATAATGGCGGGAAAGTTAACACGACAATATTATCAGCTGATTACAGCTCGCAGACCGGCGGAGAAACCATCTGTAGGCCTAAGCGATCACTTTCTACCGCCAAATTGCCCCGATGATGTCATTTTTAGCGGGGCACCGTATGTGACTACGGTGTCAAGTATTGAGGAGGTTTTGGATATGTTAATATTTAATATGCCTTCGACGTGTGTACGTACGTGTTATATGTTCTGGATAAGGTTAGGTATCTCTTTAATGTTTAATCAAGACAGCAAATGACTCATTATTGCACTATCAAGTGGTGGAATATTAAAAATCTTCAAATGTGTGTAGATTGCAGATATTGCATTGTTAAACCACAGATTTTTCTGTTAACTGTTTATTTACTTGTATGACAATCAATCTATACATCTGATTTTACCAAATAAAATTAGACTTATTCCTTTACACTGGAAGAACCATAATCATTAACGAACCGATATTTATCTGGCAATTTACGTTTCATGGTATACATTTCCTAAATGTATCTTAAAGGAAGGAAGCCATTATGCAGTTACACGCTCGACTTACAAGGCCAGAAAACATGTTAGCAATTAATTAATTAGATCTAATCTATATCTAATCCATGCGGAAACAATTTGCATTGTTTGCATAACAAAGGCAGCTATAGTTGTTTACATATGTCGGTTTCAGTTACTTAATTGCAGATTCGCTTCCCCGGTGTGAAACGGTTCCTTGCATTCAACAATGATTAACTCAGTAAGGCTGTAATACAATATGGTAACTTGTAGATTTTACTACTGCTATTTTAAAGCCATCCCAAATACCATATAGGAGTATTTTTCATGTTAAATTTCAAAGTCAATTTTACAAAGGTAATTTTTAATAATCTTACTCAATTTGTTTAAAGTTATTTTCAAATGTTCTCAATTTTACTGAATAGTAAAATTTCCATTTTCCAAAATAGAGCACCATTAAACGTTCTGGACTTGACTGAAGTAACGTTGGTTTTGGTTTGCATTGGCGGGACGGGAGGAACTTAATTAGATACAAAGTTTAAGTTGATCTAGCAACCAGTGATTAGGCCGTCATTTAGAGTCTGTTTTGTTTTGGGATACCAAAGCATATTATTTTTTATGGCTATCAGTATCTTTTTCCGTTCTTGCTTCTTTAGTAAATACCTGCATACAATGGCCAACGACACTCTTGTCAAAGTTGTTGATGGCCAATTTATTGCTATGGTTAAGTTAAGTAATTCAAGCTAAGAATGGACTTTAGTACATCCACAATCGAATCTGGTTGACTCTGAACTCATTGGACTACTAATACTCTTTGAATTACGTGTACAATTATTTGGTATGTGAGTTTTTTCAAGTTTGATAGGTTTATTGCAGGGGAATGGAAAATATTCCCAGTAGAAAATAGTTGGTGATTGTTGACCTTATTATTAAACATGTTTAGTTAGTACATTAAATTGGCTTCTCATAACACTTATGGACATTGGTTACATTTCATATGTTTACGTTTTCAGCCGTCAGGAGAAGACTGAGGCGGCCCACGAGCGCGGCAACGAGCGCAGCAAACAAACTTAGGGGTGACCAAGAAACATCAGCGAGTGTAAACAGATTCAAGGTGAGGACGAGGGAAAGGGTGGTCCCAGCTGTGCTGCAGAGGAAATCTAGCAGCGTAGCGTCCAGCAAAGACGAGAGTAGCAGTGGATACAAGGTGAGAAACTCCTCCCAGCCTAGTAGCATTGGTTATGTATTTACAAAGATGTATAATTAATGCTAGTAGGCCTACCGTGCACTCACATGCAGAGAGAATGTTTTGGCATTGACTTCTGAGTGGCGAAGTAGACATCCCATTCATATGCACCAGCTGCAGCAATTTTTTTCTAAAAAAAGAACATAATTGAATGAGTCACAGAGTTTGCTTAAGTCTAAAATTATATTTCCAATCTTAGTTTTTGTAACTGTTTGATGTGACGTGAAGGTTATAGATGCTATGGTTAACGTTATAATACAGGATACCATCCATAAATAAACCTTGACATAAATTGATAATTAACATCATTAAACTCCATCTTTAGCGTAATTATATTCTTAAAATTGCAACAAATTTAACATGGGAATGAAATATCCCGTTTTATCCACAATCAAAGGTTCTAATTACTAATAACGGAATTCCGATTACTCCACAATATACAAAGAAGGGTACCTAATATTATATCGCACCGAAGATTCCGTGCTGCCCCTCGTCTAGCATAAAACCAAACTCGTACCTAGTTATTCAGTCTCTATTAGGCTAAACCAATTAATGACTTTACCAACTATTGCACAACACGGCAACCTTTGAAGTCATACGAAAGATTAAAAACCCATCCGTATATCAAAAGGTCAGACAGTATATTTTACTACTGTAATAATCTAAAATTGCAACTGCAAGAATAATACCATCAAAGCCTATAATTTCTGCGGACCCGATTTCAAGCCTCTCACCATGCTCGAATGAATAGTTCTTAATCATTATCATTTAACACAATATATCAAAGGCCTGATTTCGCAGCGAAGTCACTGGTGTGTGAACACCGCACTTTCGTTTTAAACCCTCTTCCTCCGCTGGAGGCAATGCAGCGGCAAGAACTGTCATTATAGTCATCATATAACCGACAGACATTATGTCAAGTGGGCCGTGGCCCGGCGTCTTGGGCTGCACAACTGTTTCATAACCTCACTTCTCACAGGTGTTGATCAGCTGTTTCACGCCTTGTTCCGAGTTCCCATTGTCCAACAATGGATCTGGTATAAACAACGTATCCTGTACAATAGAGTGTTTCCGTCCATTGATTAACGTGTTATGAAACACTTGTGATTGTAATTGAGTTGACGCGGCAGGATACTTTAAAACTGGGATGAACAAATAGCGAGTTTCCTTTCTATTGAACGACTTACAATTAAACTCCAATCGTACATCTATAAAGCATTTTTTTTCAATTTTATTGTAATTTGTTGTATGACGCATATGTGTTTTAAAATTTTTTTACGGTTGAGTTAAACTTTCCTTATTACACGAATTTTTATTCAAAAATGACAATTGAAGTTTATTTTAGCCCATGCCAAATCCACAAATAATCAATCACCTTCATAACTTTTTAATTTGGTTTGTAAAAACTAAATCTTTCTCTAGAGTTTCTTGTTTATTGCCGGTACCGGTACAATATATATTTTTTTCTGTCTGTTGGAATCATCAGATTGTTATGAATTTGAACCAGTAAGTAAATTCAGAGCCCCCATCTTGGATGGACGCCCATGTTAGGTCTACCATATGCCCGGTTACTAATAGGTAATTATTTTAGGATTCTATTTAACCCACCTAACTACAGTACACTAAATAATCACTTTGATTTAGGTTGTCTGCTATTACACCAACTGGGCCCAGTACCGTACGAAAATCGGGAAATTCGTCCCTGAAGACATTGACCCCGACCTCTGCACTCACATCATCTTTGCCTTTGGGTGGTTGAAGAAGGGTAAACTTTCAAGCTATGAGAGCAACGATGAAACCAAGGACGGCGTTCCGGGATTGTACGACAGAATCCACAACCTCAAAAAAGCCAACCCCAAGTTGAAAACATTGCTTGCCATAGGTGAGATACCTTGATACATGCTGTTATTGTTAACCTATAGCTTTGAATATGATATACGACTATCCGCAGTACTATCCTGATAATTAGACCAATTCGTAAATTACAAGGAAAAATGTGGTTCGGATTCCACTATAAACTGTAGGTCCCTTAGTTGCCATTAGCTGTATGGGCTATTAATTAACAGCTGTGTCTAAGGAACATGTCGGCCTTAGTCACTAACAAGACTACAAGATCGCGCCACTCATCCTACACTCATCCTTCACTCATATTTGGGTTAAAATACGCACATAGTGGCGTCCCCATCTTAAATAATTGATAATTGATAATTGATTGAATTGATAATTGAAGACTAATTTGTTCATTAATTGTAACAACTAAGATGATATTCGTTGTCAGCTTGCTTCGATGAGATTTGATTTGATAAGTAGGACTTAACCCTGTTAAGTGGAACTCATGGGTAATCTGTACAGTGTTGATCTCTTGATCTCTTATATATTTTCAGTTTGAACTATTTTGAAAAAAGTCCCTTCAATTTTGTCTATTTATTTGTAAATATCTTTACGCCCCTCGTAAATTAAGATTGGGCATATTACCATTACTAATATTAATAATGACAAACTTTGGACCCTAACAGGAGGATGGTCTTTTGGAACACAGAGGTTCAAGGAACTAGCAGCCACGAGATACTCTCGCCAAACATTCATCTACTCAGCCATCCCCTTCCTGCGAGCAAGGCACTTTGATGGTCTGGACATCGACTGGGAGTACCCCAAGGGAACAGACGACAAGAAGAACTACGTCTTGCTGCTCAAGGGTTAGTTTTGTTTCACAGTGATAGTGTGGGAGTGCCGATGGAGACCAGGTCAAGTCCCTTCAAACGCACGCACCCCACAGGTCTCCATCAGCACTCCCGTTTTGCTACCACTGTACTCCTCCAGTGATTAAGGAGCACTCAATTGAAGTAACTCCTTTCCAACATAAACATATTAACTAAGGGATGAAGGCAAATATGTGAATTAATTTATAAATGTAGACGTGTGAGACTTCAATCCAATGGGGAAAATTTTAATAAATCAATGCTTTTACTTCTAGTGATGTAGTGTGAGTTTCGTTACTAAAAAAATATAGACTTAATTTTATGGTTGGGATTCCTTCCAATGATCAGAAATGAAATCTATACCATTAGAATAACTTCATCAACTTGTATCAAGATAAACAGATGTACCGGTACTCAATTATTTACTAAAATGTATGTTGCAATGTTTCAGAACTGAGGGAGGCTTTCGAAGCAGAAGCACAGGAGAAGAAGAAGGCTCGTTTGTTGTTGTCTGCAGCCGTTCCTGTTGGTCCCGACAATGTGAAAGGAGGATATGATGTGCCTGCTGTTGCCAGGTCTGTAGTAAATAAATGTAATAGTTTAGACAACTTTTCACAGCTAGCTGTACAACTAAGCATTGTTCAATTGACACTGAAACAGTGTTTTATAGTTTTAAATATACTAGTTGTTCTTCCGGCTTTTCGCAACGGGGCAAGAATACTTAAGAAAATAATGTGGGTCTCTAAATCCAATTTGCAATTCCACACTTACTATGGATCTCTTTTTATCTTGAACAGTAGAACCTCACCAACTTGACAGTCTGTGTAACTCGAGAGTCAACAGCTGACAGGGCGCATGCAAAAAAAAACAATTTTCCTAGAACATTTAGTTTTAATCTAACATTTAATATTTGCCATTTCTTTGAAGAGTGCTTACTCTATATATGAAAATAATCATGTAAGCATTAAATTTATATATAAAAATTAGTCTGTTATGAATATATAATTATTAAAGCCCATTAAATATTTCAATGTTCAATGACAGTGTTGCATTAGAAAGTAAACTATTCTACCAAGTGTAACCTGTTGTCGTAACTCCACAATGTCTTACTGTTTATAATGGAAAAGACTTAAAATGCTGCACTTTCTTTATGTTCTTTTCCTATGGATATTTTAAAAATATGTACTCGACCATCTGACCATACTTTGTCAAAACAGCATTTGTGTTAGGAGTTTTCTTGAGTGGGTTCTTAAAAGTGTGATTTTTACATCGTTTTCTTCCACAGCTACCTGGATTTCATTAACTTGATGGCTTATGACTTCCACGGCAAGTGGGAACGTGAGACGGGCCACAACGCACCACTGTACTCTCCGTCCAGCGACTCAGGTACGGATTGTGTTAAAGTTGGTTATGATTGCTTGAATGTATTTTATGTAAATTGATCTACCAACATCGAAAAACCTAAGTTTGTACAAGGGCCTGGAATTGTTCACCAACTTGAAAAATAAAGATAAAGACAGAAAAAATAGTATAAAATATTGATGGATGGTTAGTTTCTCAGTGTAAGTAGATTGTTTATCTTTGTTAGCTTTGTAGCATTCCAAAATAGATCATTAAAGTTGGCTATAGTTTTGATGGTACACCTTATCAGCATTGTTTTTGAGAAATATTGTTTATCACCTGAGCTATGGCCTTTTAGTTGTGTAATTCTTAACAATGTGTAACTGCAAAGAGAGACTATCTAATTCTTAACTGCATTTCATCTTTGAATAAGTAACTTTTTTAAGTCAGGTTTTGTGATAGTGAACACAAATATTGACACAAAAAATTACTCAAGAGATTGATTATTGCCCTGTGATAATTAGTAGTATTTCATTGGCTCCCACATGGCGGCAGTTTCCTCTTATCTTGACAACATTTTAATTACATTATATACATAATACATTACAGTTTTGTAAATAGAATAATTTTAAACAAGAGGTTCTACCCGCGAATTCACGGGTGTACAGAAGCCACCATTAAATTAATTTTATCAACTTTGACTTTATATTTCATGTAAAGGGCCCAAGTTCGAAAAAAAATGTCATCTAAAAGGATGTTAAAAGCAGTGGAACCTTCATACCTTACGTCCTGAGGTGGCCAAGGTGGGTACGGTTGTACCTGAACTCGCTTCTCTCTTTCACGACGTCTTTAATACTTTACTTTCAATGAAATGGCGACCTGTTAAAGATCGGTGACAACCTCTTGGAACGAACAACAAACATGGTTTGTTAATCTCATATTCATCATGTATCGGACACCTTTAATCATTCACTTGTATCAAACAGCTAGAAATAGCTTCACCGTCCATTCAACGCACTTCTTTTAAGAACATAAAACTAAATAATAAAATAAGTAAACAAAATTGTAAACAAGGAACTATATTGTTAATTGGATTGGCCAGCTGTTGTTCACCAAATTAATCAAATGGCGTTAACTTCCAAAACATGCAAGGCGTAGCCCTTTGGAAATCAGCCTGCGGGGCACAGCCCTAAGGGAGTTCGTCCATATCAATACTTTTCGGCAAATCTACACTTTCTAAGCTTCATTTTGATATGCCATATGCCTATATTTTTATTTGGTAAACGACCTTAACCGTTTACATAAAATTTGATTGTATCACTTTAATAATATAATAGATTATTCATTTCAGAATGGCGTAAGCAACTGAGTGTAGACAATGCAGCCAAGATGTGGGTTCGACTTGGAGCCCCTAAGGACAAGCTTGTTATCGGAATGCCCACTTACGGCCGAACATTCACTCTGTCCAACACCAACAACTTCAAGGTTAACTCTCCAGCCAGTGGTGGTGGAAAGGCTGGTGAATACACCAAAGAGGCAGGCTTCTTGGCATATTACGAGGTAAGACATGGGTCACATTCCAAAATCAGCCAAATTATTGTAAATTTCTGAAGAAAAAACAATGCTACGAATCTCACGTTTACAAGCTCAAGATTGATACCATAAAAGTTGATAATTAACCTTATCCAAAACCTTTGTCATATTATCCAGTCTTCTACATTATATGATTCTCCAGCCTTCCTCAGCTGTTCCGAATCTCTTCCAGTCTTCACTCTTCACATGTTTCAACCATCTCTCTTTTGGGATTATGTCCTTCAATACGAAAGAAGATTGTCGTGTTATTGCAAACATCATACTTTGCAACTTAACTTGATCGGCAACATGTTCATCTTGAATAATAGTCAATATACCACTAGCTCATTTGATCCTTGTACACTTTAACTTCATATCAGCTCTTAAACATTACAAGTAAACAGCCCTAAAAGTTTACTTTGACTTTAAAAAGGGCTAGTATTGAATTATTGTTGGGATATTCTTTTTATTTTCTTACATTTTGTAATGTTTGTACCTTGGTTGGAAAGTATGATACAGATGTCCAATTTTACACTTTTAAAACACAGCCTCACTTAAGTGTGATTACATTGTAATACTGTACATAGTTACTTTTCCACTTTGCTCAATTAAAAAAAAATGTCTTGAGTTGTATTTAGGTAAACATTAGCAAACCTTAGAAAATCAAGTGTGTATCGTTCAGTTAGGTGTGTTGATTTATACTCATACAAGTTGAATTCCTCTCATTAGGGAATTCAACACTGATGTTTTGAAAATTTACCTGTTGTGTTAAAAGTCAAATTCACAGACTGCATCCCTTGTGAAGACTTGAACTTGTCTTGCAGTTACACCACCAGTTTGGTTTTGGAATCATTAACATAAGTTTCTACTGGATGTTTCTGGAATTTTTGTAAGCATGGTTTTGTTACTACAACAAAGAGAAGTCAAGTTAAATTAGCTAAAATTGGATCACCATTATTAAAATCATAGTTTTAACCTTTGATTTTATATCTGACACATTGTAGTCTCTAAGTATATGTCAATAAATTCTATTGTCTAATTTCCGTATCCATTCTGATTCTCAATCTTAGGTTGAAGAGTAAATTTATCCATTTGATTCACTCAATTAATTATTCATTATTGACTGAAGTTCTTGACATGACAGTGTGACTAACCAAACAGAATTAATCCAAAGCCTACATTTACCCACTACTTTTCTAGGTTTGTGAGATGCTGCGGAACGGAGCCACTTACATCTGGGATGATGAGATGAAGGTCCCCTACGCAATAATGGGCGACCAGTGGGTGGGCTTTGATGACGAGCGGAGCATCCGGCACAAGATGGGATGGATCAAGGAGAACGGCTACGGGGGTGCCATGGTGTGGACAGTGGACATGGACGATTTCTCTGGAACTGTATGCGGAGGCGATGTCAAATACCCGCTGATTGGAGCTATGAGGTAGGAACTAGATGCAATCATTTCTGGAGTAACAACAGAACTGAAGACAATAGTGTGACCTAAATTCATTGATTGTGGGTTCAAAGAGAAGCCCCTTCAATATAATTGAATGAAGAATGAGGGAAAATTGGTGGGTTGTTGTTGCTGTATGCCAACGATGAATGAGGATACGAAGGACACTAATACAGTAGTAAAAATGACAAAAAATATGAAATGCATTGTTTTATTTAACTCTCACCAATGTATCAGTCGCCACAACAAGATTTTTTTTGTTTTTCAGTTTAAAATGTTTGATAATAACATAAAAAGATCCAAATATTTACCCAGCTAAGTTATTGTGTAATTTTGCAAGTAATCCCATTAGCATTTTGAAAGTTTTAGGGGACGGACCATTTCCTAATCTGTTTACTATCTGATGTCGACCTTTTGTTAGATACCTTCAGTAGCCCAATAACAAAATGTCAACTTGGTTCAGAATCTATCACACCCAACCAGCTGTCATGAGTTTTTACATACAGCCCTCTAGCCACTCTGCCACCAGAACCATTAATAGTTTACTATCAATACCTTACAATATATTTTCTGAAGTATTTTAAGGTAGAACTTTTACAATGTACATTTTGCAGGGAGGAGCTGCGAGGTATCAAGCGAGGACCGAATGCGCAAGACATTGACTGGAGCAAGGTAGCCAACTCTGTAGCTCTGGAGACTGTCACCAAGCCTGTGCCTATCAAGATCCCGGTCAGTGAGCTGCTTAACAAGGTGAAGGGAGTCAAGCCTGCGACCACCTCTCTACAGGTCACATCCATCAACAAGAATGGTGAGGACATGGTTACAGTTCCCCAAAACTTTTTGGCCCTTAAAGATGAATATTCAGTAGACACAGTAATTGCCTACTGAAAGAAGTAGACTGGCTAGGTTGCTGAGTGGTTATATCGCTCATCTAACAAACAAAATGTTGCTGGAACGATCCTGAGAAAAGTCGGTAGCTTTTTTATGGTAAACTGGACCCAGCTGTCCGTGATCATTGGGCTTTAAATTAATGACCTGACTGATGCTTGCTGGTACAGCTGATCTTAGTCAGTAACAAAGCTACACAGATCAACTCACTCCATTCTACACTCATCCATTACTCATATTTGGGTTGAAATATGCACATAGGTGGTGTCCCCATCTAATTGATAATGATAATGATAATTAATTATTAATTTTAGGACTTCAGCTGTTAAAAACAACTGTTATTGCAAAAATAGCTGAAATACTGCTAAAATTGTTCGAAGGAGTATCAATCGGTATCAGTCTATATAATTTTTTCGTGTTGTATTGTAACGTTTCTGTATGCCTGACGTCAGCAAAAATTACTCACAAACACTGCCAAAGGCGTTCAGATGGGTTATTCACTGTAAAAACACTCTTGGATTAATGCATTTGATCACATTTATTATTAAATGTGCTGGGTTCATAAGTACCAGTATCAGTTTATGCAAATTTCCTCGCCTGAATATTATTCATAATATATTCACCACAGATAAGAAAGTCTACTAAAAAGTTTACTTTCACTGTTACGAAGAAGAGGATGGATTTTGTCCTAAACTTTTTGCCTATTGATAACTTTGAATTTTTGTCCCAATACAGCAGGCTACAACTGGTAATGAAACAATGGGGACAACCAAACTGAATGCTTTATGTAGAGACCATAAAAAGTAGATATTAACGATCTAGTTAATTTTGATCATTTTCAGCATCCTAATTTTTTTACTAATTAAATGAAAACTTGTGGTTTATTATAATGGAAAATATTTTGTTGTTGCGGTTTTTCTCTTTAATATGAGTGAACTTTTTGTAATTTTTCTGAGAACAATTGGGATAATGTATAAGTTTTCACTGTTGAAGTACTACCGTATAGAAAATTGAATAATGTAATCTGGCCATTTAAAAATCATATTGTAGGTACAATATAGAGTAATTTAATGAACTTGGAGTAAAACTGTACTGAACCTATGGCAATGACCGTATAGGATTAAGTTTGTTTAATATATCTACAATCAGCTGATTGATTACAGAGCGACCAGCCCAGGTGTTCTGTTACATGACCAGCTGGTCCAAGAAGCGTCCAGGCGCTGGTAGGTTCACCCCGGACAATATAGATGCTTCACTCTGTACCCATGTGATCTACGCCTTCGCTGCACTGAAGGATCACAAGCTGGCAGAGGCTGAAGACAAGGAGAAGGAGGAGGAGAGCGAAGGAGAGAGATACAAGCAGGTGGTTGCGCTGAGGGAGAAGAATCCTGACCTTAAGGTGAGTTGGGAGAATAAATTTGAGCTTACGGTGAGTTAAGTCAAGAGAGGGTAACCCTATGATTTTAAATTGAGCTGAACCTTTGAATTGGCCGAGAAAAATCTGATTTTAAGGTACCGTAACTTGAGAGGAACAAAATCTGTTGTTATCTTAAGCTGGGAGAGACAATCTGATTTTAAGGTGAGATGAAGAAGAACCATGATTTATAGGTGATCACGGTGATTTGATCAAAAGAGAAGAACCCTATGGTTGAATTAAGTTCAGGGAGAAGAAATCTGACATCAAGGGAAGTAAGAATACCTTAAGAATCCCCCCCAAGAAGAAAATCCCTGATTTAAACACATTAATAAGTTGAGGGAGAAGAATTCTGAGCTCTTATTAAGTCAAGTCAAAGACAAAGTCAAATGATTAGATTATTATGATTAACTAGTAGAAGTTGAGTGAAAATAACACACCCCCCATCATCAGATAGAGGAATTGTGCCTTATTTTATTTATTTTATTTTATTTATTGAGCGGAGCGAGCGAAGCGAGCGTAGCTCTTTGGGATCAACTTCAATGCAACAAATAAAGCAACATCACTCAATAACGGCAGAACACATTTCAGCTAAACTTAACAAGATTACTTAGACTAATAGCGAGATGGTTAATAAACAAACAAATTTCAATTAGATAATGCTAATGCAATTTAAAACGAACTTAAAATTTCCAAATTTTAACATTAAGCTTATGGGACTAAAGTAGCCATATGACAGTTTTTTGTTTACAAGAAAAATGTAAACAAGAGAATCATAAGGTATTTATGAACTTTCTAGACTTTTCTTTTAAACGTTTTTAAACCATGAACCTATTTGTGTTGCCAGCTGATTAGAAACAGCCAATGTTAGAAATCAGGATTTAATAAGCGATATATTGAACCGAATCGAAATCGATATTTAATCCGATAATACATCATAGGTTATATTATGTTGAATTACATCGACGGTGCAATAAGTTATTACACTTATTAATAAAACGCAGATTGAACACTGATCTAATTTAGGCATGTGGGGAAGGTAGGTCGGGGTTTATGAGTATTCGTGACTACATTAAGTGTTTTGAAGTACCGGCAAGGTTAGATTAGGAAGGTAAAGTGTAGGTTATAGGTAATTGATCGAGTTGTTTATTTGTGTTGCACCAAATTAACTGATAATATTTTCCTGGTCAAAACTACCATAATGTACTTTTGGAAGAGGTATCTGAATAACAAGATGTAGTAAAAACAAATCTGAATTATTATAATTTTAAACAATAAAACCAGCATTAGTACATCTATTGACTTTTTTACATTTAGTTACTAATACAAATATCAAATCACGTTTGTTCCGCTCAACTGGCTTTCACCTCTCTGAAAGCAACCCTAGTATATATTATTTCCTTTTCTGTTTTTATTGAGTTACAATTTAAATGGTTTGCCGTCTCCTTGTCATAATCAGAGGCATTCAAGATCACTTTCCATTCTAGATCCTCCTGGCCATTGGAGGTTGGGCGTTTGGCTCGTCTCCCTTCAGAGAACTGACCAGCAACGTGTTCAGAATGAACCAGTTTGTCTACGAAGCCATCGAGTTCCTGCGAGAGTACAAGTTTAATGGATTAGATGTTGACTGGGAGTACCCTAGGTGAGTGTACTGCAATCAGTAAAGTTTGGGACAACTTATGTGTAAATATATCTCACAGAAAGTAGGTGTAAGTAAGTAAACATTTTATTGTATCAATTACGACAACTATTATGATATATCAGACAACAGGGTTGAAAGTATTAATACATTGTACAAATAAATACACAAACACTATAGCTTTTAATTTGTACAAAACTTGTATATCATGACAGGTAACTGGATTGGTCAAGAAGAAAAGAAAAATTACAGTGCAATAACTTACAACACTGTCAGTTTCTTCTGGTAGGCTGTAGCGCTCTCAAGAGAGTGGTGAGTTGTGTCCAGCTTGGTGGTTATTGGTCACAGTTCATGTGCTGTTTTTTCACCAGGGGAGCTGACGACAGAGCAAGCTATGTAAACCTATTGAAGGAGCTGCGTATGGCATTTGAAGGAGAAGCCAAGAGTTCTGGCCAGCCAAGATTGTTACTGACAGCAGCAGTGCCAGCCAGCTTCGAGGCTATTGCCGCTGGGTATGTAGATTGTTTAGTTTTGTATTCAAGAAGTTCCAGCAATAGCTATATCTCATTCCTTTCCGACTAGTCCTCATCTATTTTCTTTAATCCCTCCCTTTCCCCCTTTGCAGTTCCTCTTCAACTACTTTATCGGCCATCTTCCTCCTCTCTTATCCACGTCCCTCCACCTTCATTAATTAAATTATTTTACTTCTCCTTGTCATTATCAAAAGGTTTGCCTTCTTCTTGTCATAATCAGAGGCATTCAAGATGGTCATTCATCCACCTTCATCTAGATCTTCTTGTGGTCTCCTTCCTGATCAAGTATGTGATTTGATTATATTTCCAAATCAATAATCTATTCAGTGGTTTTAGGTGCCTTCATTTTGTTCAGTCTGTCATTCATATTATGTTAGTCTAAACCTAAAGGAAATTTTACTTGTCTGAAATTACATTTTGTGGTTTCATTTTGATGTTAATATCTATTTGTGGTTTGGGCCACAAATAACTGGTTATATTGACTAATTTTATTGGTTTTGTAGTTACGACGTGCCTGAGATCGCTAAGTACCTGGACTTCATCAATGTGATGACTTACGATTTCCACGGACAGTGGGAACGCCAAGTTGGTCACAACTCACCGCTCTACCCTCTTGAGAGTGCTACAGCCTACCAGAAAAAACTGACAGTTGTAAGTTATAGCACTCTAACAGTTTTTTATGGCTTTCTTTAATTCTGTTTAGTTGTAATTAATTTTTTGCTTTCCTTCTCTTAGCTTTTTTTAATGCCATACACATATTTTCTATATAAAGTTTGTTTTAGTTAATCCACCTATTCTTAAACTATGACAACAGTTTTGAACAATGGTTATCAAGTTCCACAATCACGGTTTTTATTAGAAGAGTAGATCTATGGACAGAATATTGTGTTAATCATTGAGAAAGAATAGTTTTGCACTAGTTGCACTACTTTAACAGTGAATTCTGACTTAGAGCACTCTAAAAAGTAAAAGTAAAATCAAAGCTAAATGGTGTGACCTAGGTTTGTAGACTAAACTTGTCATGTTTGACCATTGAAATGAATGGACTCAATGGTTTCTTATTTTGAAGTAGAATCTATTCAAATATTTTTAAAATTGAGAACCCAATTCAATTACCCCTAGTTGTATACAAGCTAAAATTAGGTATAAAATCAATAAACCTTAATATGTTGTCTTAAAATTGTATTGATTGTTGTGTGTTTGCAGGACTACAGTGCCAGGGAGTGGGTAAAGCAAGGCGCACCTAAGGAGAAGCTGATGATTGGAATGCCGACCTACGGACGATCCTTCAGTCTCGTTGACCCAACCAAGTTTGACATTGGGGCACCTGCCTCAGGTGGGGGTACTCCGGGCAAGTACACCGGGGAAGCTGGCTTCATGAGCTACTACGAGGTTGGTAGTTGTGATCACACTAAGTTATTTTGTTTCAGTAACATATCATCAAACATTTAGATTGATAAGATTGTTTGGTATCTCTGATTGGTGGCCAAGTAATGTGTCATCCATTATTGTGGTACTGTGGTAATAGGGGATGGTTAAAGTTAAGGTACAGGCTGAGGGAATGAAAATTGTGCTTTATGAGTTTTTAACATTTTATTAAAAACTTACCATTTAAACTGTGAGAAAAGATATTTTAATTTATCACAGTAATTTTACTCTTTATTTTATTCTCTCATGGCATTTATATTTACTAGTTGAATATTTTCTCAAAACTTTTTCCCATTGTAGGTTTGTGATTTCCTCCATGGAGAGAACACCACTCTAGTCTGGGACAACGAACAGCAAGTTCCATTCGCATACCGAGGAGACCAGTGGGTCGGCTTTGATGATGAGAGATCACTCAAGACCAAGGTACAATGCAAAATTCTTTTACAGATTAATGTTTTACACTAATGTATGGATGGATATTTGCAAAGACATTAACTCACCATTACATTAATCTGTAATATTATCGACTGAGCCCCCAGCTCATCAATACCAAATTTCACTTCTACTTCTCAAATTATCACTTTTTTTAAGAGGTTGGTGGCCTCTTCTAACCTTGCATTTGCCCATCCACATAGACTACAGATCTGTGCGTGGAATGTATCCAGCAAAGCAAGGGGTGAGCCGGTACAGTACAAAGGTGAACTGTACTGATAAAATGTTTGTGACAGTGACCAGGATCCAAACCCACGATATCACTGCCATGGGCCCGAAGTCCGTAACGCTACCAATTGAGCCACTGACTCACCTGGTACACTTTAAGTTAGGACAGCAAAATATCACGGTCATGATGGTTGTCTAATGAATATATCTCATTTCATTTTTCATTTCAGATGGCTTGGCTGAAGGAGGAAGGATTTGGTGGAATAATGATCTGGTCTGTAGACATGGACGACTTTAGAGGAATGTGCGGCACAGGGAAGTATCCGTTGATCAACGCAATGAAACAGGAACTGGAGGACTACAGGGTGAAACTAGAGTATGACGGACCTTTCGAGACCTCAGTATCCAGTGGACAGTACACCACCAAGGACCGTAAGTAGCTGCAGGACCCAACAAGCTCAGTAATAATAGAAGATTAGAAATTGGGAATCCTCCTTGGAAATAATACAAAAAATTCAGTATGGCTGTTAAATTATTCTTAGTCTTTGCTTAAGTGATTACAGTGGTATTTCAAAATATTTACTATAAATTAACACTTTGACTTTGAAATTGTTTATGATTTTACTATCAATATAGTCATTTTCAAAAGATTATGTCAATTTAACAAATCTTTCAAGTTTCAATGTAGTCTAACGCTCCACTGTCTGTTACAGCCACATCAGTGACATGTGAGGAGGAAGACGGCCACATATCCTACCACCCTGACAAGGCTGACTGTACCATGTACTACATGTGCGAGGGAGAACGGAAACATCACATGCCTTGTCCCAGCAACCTCGTGTTCAACCCCAACGAGAACGTCTGTGATTGGCCAGAGAACGTGGAGGGATGCACGCAACACACGCAAGCTCCGCCCACCAGTAGGAGATAGAGGAATGGAGGGGCGGGAAGGTTTTAGAGTGACGAGCGAGTTGCGTAACATGTCTTGGAAGGGTAGTATTGTCATGTCCTCTTGGATGGAAATTTCAAAATAACTGTCTATAATAGATGGTTTCGGTTTTACAGTTTTCTTAGACATTGGAGTATGAATAAAAATGTTTGAAGTTGGTCGTAGATCATTTGGAGGTATTAAAAGGTTTAAAATCTTGAAAAGTTCCGTTTGAGAGAAATCGAATTTAAAAAATAGTAATAGTTAGGGGGATTTTTTTCCATACATTTTTAACATTTTGTGTTTTTACGATTTCATGCAATTAAACATGAATTGAAATGGTATTTTTTGGTTTTAGTAAATAAAATAAAATAAAAACTATTATATAACATTGAAAAATGGAATTTTATGTCTGATGATTATCAACAAATAGTTTATTTGCGCTAGAATTGCATTTAAAAATTCAATATAATACCTTTATTGCAATAACTGCGGCTTTTTGAGTTCTTCGTTCTTATGTGCCTTAAGAAAGTTGAGTTTAACTTTTGCAAAAACAATTTTTTGGGACTATTCTTTCACAAGCTTTTATCAGAAATATTGAGGAATAAAATTGCAAATGGTTAGAAGAGAACAGTGTGCCATGGATGAGTAGTTAAGATAAAACTCGATGCTCAACAAACCTACTGAAGATTTCCCGCACACCCTAAGCAAAACTTGTACAAATGTGTGTAGATTATATATTGTTTTGTATAAAACTGGAATTGTTGCGTTTTACAAAAATGTAAACCTTAAGTAAATTAATTGTAAAATAATTTATGTCAAAGTGTTTGTGATCTTTTTTTAACTATCTTGAATTCATTACCATAGCTCCTTTTATACGTTTATATTTATTTCATTTTGCATCCCTATGGATTACGCTGATTAATGTTGAAAATTGTTTTGTATTAGGAGCTTAGGCCTCAGTTGTGATGATTTACCATGCATTATCCGTACCATAATATATTGTTTATGAAAGATATATGTGTAAATATTCTTATATATAAAAAGTAGTAAAGACTTTGTTTTTGTTTTTATTTAATTTTTACCCTATACTATAAATAGGCTACTTGGTTAAGATATGATGTAGCAGGATTCTTATATTAATGTTTTATCCATCCAGCTCTATGTTGGTGACATGTATCTGTTAAACAGTTTATAGAAAACTACAATATAATATGTTTTCATATTAAAATCATCTGCAGGTCTCTGTGCGGGGGTATTTATTTATTTTATGGTTTTGACTGAATTGAAACAGGTAAGCTGGTCCTATTGGTGTTCTGTTTTAACTGAAATGGTGACTAAAACGCCCAAATGATTTACAAACACTGTTAAAAATTTCCCCAGGCCCAAAAGTTATATGGAATTTGGGTTTCAAAGATGGTTGGGTTGTGGAGAAGTACACTGTATTTGTTGTCTACCATACAATGATAACTGTGGCTACTTATCTTATATACTAAAAAACTTTTGCAATCTTATGACAGCTAGCCTGACCATACTACTGGACCAAATTACATGCTGTTGGTACCAAATGAAAGATATTTTTCTGTAGATCTGCAGAATCCCTTTATAAATTTTAAAAAGGCTCAAAAATATGCACGAAAAATGAATTTAAAATTTTTAAAATTAACATGGACCTTCGTATGGGTTGCCATGTTGGTGACGAAATATCAACAAAATATAAACAGACAATCAAAACAAATGGAAGAAATTCCAATCACATGTTTTATTTACAGCGTGGGGTGAAAATGAGAAGTTTGCACAATACATACTTTTGGTCAAGTTTTCAACCACGGGGCGAGCTCTCGTCTTGTATTAAAAAACTTTTGCAAAACTTATGACAGCTAGCCTGGACCGAATTATAAACGGTTGGTACCAAATGAAAAATATTTTCCTGTGTAGATGTGCAGAATCCCTTTATAAATTAAAATAGACTCAAAAATAAGCACGAAAAATTAATTTGAAATAAAAAAAATCAACATGGGCCTTATTATGGGTTGCCATGCTGGTGAAAAAATAACAAAAAAAAATATAAACAGAAAATCAAAACAAATTCCAATCACATGTTTTATTTACAGTGTGGGGTGGAAATAGAGAAGTTTGCACAATACATATTTTTGGTCGAGTTTTCGACCACGGGCAAGCTCTAGTCTATATATTAATAGGCAAGCATATTTCTTTAAAAAAATTTTTCTCAGCTCATGCACAGCGAAAATCAACTCATACTGTTGGAAAAATGTGCAGAATCCCTTCATAAATTAAAATAAACTTTAAAATAAGCACAAAAAATGACTTAAAAATTTAAATAAATTAACATGGACCTTATGGGTTGCCATGCTGATGACAAAATAAGAACACAATATAAACCAAAAATCAAATAAACGGAAGAAATTCCAATCCCATGTTTTATTTACCAAGTAGAGAAGTCTGTACATTACATATTTTTTTGTCAAGTTTCGACCTCTAATTTAATTAATTAAATACTTATTTAACTAATTTAATTTAAATTATTTCGTTTTGGATGTAAAAAATATATAAGTTTCGCACATATTGGAGATTTAACACACCATACTATAAACTAGTACATGGATTCACCATGTAATTCAGTTACCATTATATTACTGTAGGGTGTATCTTAAAGGATGTGAGCCATTTCGCTGGTTAGGATTTTTTAAAGGAAAAGTTCAGCTAGTTTAGTTTACCTGAGAATGTTAGAGTTCAGGTACAAATAAATACACAGAAATGAGCCCATAAGATAACTGATTTGTCGTCCTAACAGTGGACTTCATTAGAGAATATAATGAAGAGAAATGCTAGTTACCAAAAACTGGGCTGTCACTGCAAAGGTTGTTCTTGGGACAACAAAACTACTGAAGGTTAGCCATGAAACGAGTTCTCTTGAGGGTAGGCGAGACACAATTAAAATAACCCCATAGCTTAAATTATATTATTAAATTTATATGGTCAGTGTTTTATTTTTTGTGCCCCAGTACAAATGTTACTACATATTTCAAACGGAGTCAATTCATAAGGCACATAAGAGCCACTAGAGTGTGTGATTCGTATCTAAGTTTCCGAATCAGCTACGTCATGAGAATCAACAACGTCATAATAATTAATCGACAACGTAATGTAAGTCAATTGATTAATAACGATATGTAAATGTCCGGAGGTTGTATGACACCTCCACGGTGTGCCCCAAGGTTGCACACTTGGTCCCGTTCTGTTTTCAGATTAGAAAGCGCGCGAATCACCAAATAATTGGTCATTAACGATTGTCCTTCACAGTTCAACGGTCCTTCTAACCATCCGGTAAGTTTGTGTGGCACTTCCAACAATATTTTTTTATAATATTGTACTAAGTTAAATAAGATAGTTTTGATAACTTGAAATTTTTGTATAGTATAGTATTCTGTGCGCAAATCATGTATCTGATTTTTGTTTGGAAATGGGAAAATCTTAACAAATCTAGTTACCTAATTTATGAAGTAAGAAGTAGTTCAAAATTCTCAAAAGAGTTTATTTAAATGGTATCTTTAGGAAATCAACACTCAAAGTTAATATTTTTGGTGATTGACAAGTTTCTAAAACATATGGTTGCGACGTAAAAACGGCTTACCCAGTTAAACAAAACGACAAAAATTTTTTATTGATTTTAATAGGGTACACTAATGGTTACGGCATTGGTGATGAATGTAATAATAAACAATGGATCTGACATTAAGTCTGAGACTGGTGAAAGACAAACCTCCTTTGTTATTGTTACGTAACTTTATACTAAAAGAGTAAAGACTCAGGGTAGGATTTAAGTAAATATATGATATAATAGTTTACATTTCAGTCAAAAGTATACGAATCTGTTGGATAATCATTTTTTTATCATTTTTCATTCAATTGGTTCTTAATATTATATGTGAAGCAGACAAAAAAGTGTTGTGGTTACGTAACACATAATAACAAAACGTAATCATCATTGTTACCTCATCATCTGAGTTTGGAAAAAATGGCGAAAGGTTTCTAAGTTCAAAACATTTCTAAAACATAACAAACATTTCTATGATAAACCATTTAATAGAAATTATAAATAAAACCCTAGCTATATTTTAGTCTTCGTGGTAAGACTGCGAGTACAGAACTTCTTTCGTAGAAGTTTAAAACACAGTTTGTTCAAAGTTAAATTTTCAATTTCAAATTTCAAAGTAAAAACCCGTTCATTTTTTTATTTAGATTAAACGTGTACGATTATTGTAATTTTTACCTGTCAGCCGTATGAATATCGAACAAAATGTTGTGTTACAGTAATATATTTTTTATATTTTAGAAGAATAAACGCCTTCTGCCTTCTAGTTACACTAGTCAGTATTTTACAATAAGATTTCGGCCAGATGTCTCTACCGATTTCCCACAATTAGTGATTTGTTTGTTTGTTTCCATCTCTCAACAATCGGTCAAAAACTTACAACGCTTGAGTGAAATGTGACGGGCGCAGTTGTTTAAGTATCATAGGTCATTAGTGTACCTACAATGTAAACAAACAAGTGAATGGAAAGTATACCCTCGTCTATGATTTGTTTTCACAGCTGATAATTAAGAGTTCTATACACACATGATTAAACAACAGCTGATAAGAATTTTTTTCAATTAACGTCATGGAATGCAATGACGCTGATAAACTCGTGTGCATGAACGGTGCTGAATTATTCTGGATCTTGCTAACTTTTTAAAGCGGTTCCTCATTACAACTAATACAGCAAAATCTTAATTCGCCAATATCAGCTTTGAAGGGAATTTTTACCTCAGAATTGCGTAGTGGTTTTTAATAAATTTCAATATATACCATAACGTTTCGGAATTATTATGGTTAATCATACTGTAATAGTACTTTATCCATTGCCGGATTTACTACTAGGCTGATTTTACGGAGATCGCGGGTGATGATGGGTGATTATAACGACGGATGTTCACGTTGGGAAGTTCCACCAATGACGGAGGGTTAGGGACGGAGGCCGCTCGGGTTTTTTCTTCTATGAGGCCACAAGTACCCTAAATCCGGCACTCACTTCATCTGTGAATCTTTGTTTTTTTTTCATTTTTATATCAGCGTATATCATTATTTTATATCACCTATTAATACTCAATTAACATAAAAATTACTCAGTTTGAAGAAACGGTGATATTGTTTTTATTTTTTATTACGTTTTAAAATAAATCATCATTACGATCGCGATTAATATTTAAAATAATCTTATAACGTTTTCTAAGGTATGCACAAAGTTACGTACTCAATAAAAATTTGTAGTTTAATCTTATTAGTCTTTTCAGCAAAGTCAAATTCACAATGACAATCCATAATCAATTTGGCTGTCAGCCAAAGTAACCTTAACAAAAAAGATCAATAGATTTCTAAGAACGGAAGTGACTAAGATTAACATTTGCCAACTGCTAATCCTCGGATTTGTGTCCTTCCGCCCGCAGGCAATTTCATTCTTTGCCTTGAAACATTATAAACAGTCACGCCGTTTCTCGTGCTGTTATCCATTTCCTGTCCGAGCCCAGCTGGGTGAGTACCTGACCTGTCTCTAGATCAGCTGACCAATGTAAACAATGACATAACCTTAAACTATTAGGTCAACATTTTAACTATGTAGTGAGCTAAATGCTTTCAATGCGCAGCGACCTATTTCTTTATGAGAATATTTAGCTTGTTCGCTTACTGTTGACTATAGTTAGGCCTAATGCTTAATATGCTATGCAAAACTGGATGAGGATTTATAGAATATTAACTGTGAAGAAGCTTATACTATATTTTTTATGATGTAAATGTTTGTTATAGACAATTTTTTGATCTAAAACCATGCCAATAATTCTTACTATAGCATTTCAAATACTTTAATGTTGAAAAATCTCTTGATAAGCAGAGGTGAGTTATTTGTTGTAGTTTTGAGTTTGTAGAATAAAGAGCCTTATTTTAACTACTAGTTCTTAAGTATTTTTCTATGTTAAGTGTCTTTTTCTGAACAACA